TATTTTTTTCTACTCACTTCATTTCTTGTGGATGTATGTCCAGTAGTGAGATCGCCAGATCATGTAGAAGTTGTACTTTTAGCTGACTTAGAGGGCTCTATTGTGTATGCTGTCATTCCCATTCCTACCAACAGTGAGTAAGGGCTCCACATCCTTTCCAACACTTACCATTTGTCTTTCATCCTTGCTAATTCAATTTCACCTTAAACATCACTTCTCTCAATGCACTATGTAAATAGTCTCCTTTCCGCAACCACTTTTTATTTCACTGCTCAGCTTCTCTGTTCTATTACCAGCTTACCCACTTGTTGCCTGTATGTCATACTTTAGTGTGAGTTTCTTAAGAGCTTGGACCCCATCATGTTAATTTATCTTGGTATCACGAAGAGCTAGAAAAACTCCTACCACTAACACCCATGTTCAAACATAGCTATACATCCCATAGTGTAAGGTAAAAATAAAAGAATTTTATCAAGACATTTTTTTTAGCATAATCATGATATAAAAAGATAAATGATTACTTTGGATATAATTTTGTATTTATTAAATTATAGAATATGAAGAGCCATGGGAAAACAAATGCTATAGGAAAATAAATCTTTGATAGTATAGTATTTAGCACATTCACTCTAGGTGTGTGTTACAGTGATTTTATAGGACCATATCCCTATGTCGTTATTTATATCCTTCTTTACTACTCAAGAAAAGAAATAACGACGACGACAAATTTAGCTTTTCAGGGTTCCCTTGTTTTTTCTTAATGAACTATCCCCAAGGCAAACTTCTGAAAAGCTTCTTTTCAGCCAAATATGCTCTATAGAAGTCTATCCAGTGGGAGTGGGAAGCAGTGCAGCCTGATTCAGGGTGTTAGGACAGATATTAAAGTGAGGTGAGGCTTTGGAGGGCATTGCTCTGATCCTAATCCATACAGAGCATCCAAGACCCAAAGGGCTGGACAGGAAAAAAAAGTCATTCTGTAACCCAAGTTTAATGTGACTGATGCAATGTTCAGCTTGAGTGTGTCCTCACATGCTTTATTTTCCAACTGAAAGCAATAGAACCTCCTGGACACGGTAAAGTATTTTCTTTTCATCTCGTCCTATATATTTTTAGACATTTTAAAAATTATCATTGGCCACTTTCTAATTATATAAACATAAACCAATCCTTGAATTTGTTCAAGGTAGATAAAAATATCAGTTATCATTAAGTTGATAATGCTAGCTCCAGAGGTCAGAAGATTCAAGAGTTTTTACAAGCTCAAAGAAAACTAGGGGAAAAAAAATCACAAGTCTAAGTTGTGAACACCTAATTGCTTCGTGGTAAAACTATAGATTTATTAAAATTTATGGAAGCAGCACAAGCAAGGTGCCTCTGGGTCTTTACATTACTTAGAATCTGTCTTCAAGAAAAAACTGAAGTATGTAACTTTACTACATACATGTAACATAAAACATTTCATTTAGTTATATGTTTTATTTAAATTTTTTTCATACACTATATTTTGATCATATTTTCCTTCTCCCAATTCCTCCCAGATACTCACTCCTCTCCTCCTTACCTATCCAACTTCAAGCTTTTTCTGTCTCTCAAAAGCAAGAAAAAAATCAAAACAAGCAAACAAAAGAACCCAATAAGACAAAAGGATAACTTAGAAAACAAAAAGTCCACAGAGAACAAAACCAAAACCAAAACATGGAGTCCATTTATGTTAGCCAACTACTCCTGGGCCCGAGGCTGCCTTGTGGTGTTGCTGATATGCCCAATGACAGTTCATTGGAAAAAACTGATTTTCCCTTTCCTAGCAGCAATCACTTGCAAAAAGCTTCTTGGTTAGTTATGGGACTCTGTGTCTACCCCAAACAGAATGGCCAAGATAAAAATTTATAAGTTTTTTTCCTATTATTAAAAATAGATTTTTTCATATAATATATTCTGATTACAGTTTCCTCTCCCCCAAGCCCTCTCAGTTCCTCCAGATCCACACCCTTTCTGTCTCTCATGGGCATCTAAGGAATAAAAACAAAATAAGATAAAACAAAAACAAACACATTAGAATAAGACAAACAAACAAATAGAAAAAAAAAAAGAGCCAAAGAAAAAGCATGACGAACACATATAGACATAAACATACAAGTTCACATACACAGGAATGGCATAAAAACACAAACTAGAAGCCATAATACATATGCAAAGTACCTGTAAGTTTAAAGAAAAAAAAAGAAAAGAAAAGAAAAAGCTCCAACACAGCACTATGACACAAAGACCCTCCAAAGATGCCTTTGACCATGTTTTATGTTGGCTATTTACTGCTGGGGCCTATCCTTAAGAGTGGTTCATTAGCTGGGCAGTAGTGGCACATGCCTTTAATCCCAGCACTCTGGAGGCAGAGCCAGGCGGATCTCTGTGAGTTTGAGACCAAACTGGGCTACAGAGTGAGTTCCAGGAAAGGCGCAAAGCTACACAGAGAAATCCTGCTTGAAAACCCCCCCCCCCAAAAAAAAAAAAAAAGGAGTGGTTCATTTCTTCAGTGATACTCCCTTGGAGAAAACTAAATTTTCATTTGCAAGTGCTTATTAATTGGAGCTGGATTCTAAGTTAGGAATAAGAGCTTGTATCCACTTCCCTGCTCATCTCAAGTCCCACATGATCCAGACCTATGTAGGCCCTGGGCAGTTTGCCTGAATCTCTTTGAGTTCATATGTATATCAGTGGTGCTGTGTTTAGAAATCCTTGCCTCTTTGGTGTCCTCCATCCCTTCTGGCTCTTTATACTCTTTCTGCCAAAGGGGTCCCACAGGAACCCACAACCAGCCCAGACTATTGCCAAGGCTTTTGGTTGCTCTCCACAAATTGATAGTAAAGCCCCATTGCTGAAGACAACACACCTATGCAACTCATTGAACACAGAGAAGTTGAGCTGGTGGCTCCACAGAGTTTTCACCACTATGGCTAGTGTTCATGCTACTGGAAGGTCCTCTGCATGCTACCAAAGGAGAAAGGTAAACACTAACACAGCTACAAACCCTTCAGTCTAGAGTGATAACCTATACGCAAGATAAGCTGGTACAGTAGTGGCACAAAGTTTGTGGGAGCAAGCAACCAAGATTCTGATTTTATTTAAGGCTCGTGCTGTGAGACAGAACCCATACCTGACATTGCTTGGGTGGCCAAATACCCAAGACTAGATAACCAAGAGATCTAGAGTAAAGCCAAAGGTTCTACTAAAGGACCATAGTAGTAAAATGACTCCTAATGATATTCTGCTATATTCACAAATCAGTGCCTTGTTCAGCCATCATCAGAGAAGCTTACTTCTGCAGTAGACAGGAACAAATACAGAGACCCACAGCCAGGCAATCTGCAGAAAGTGAGAGATCTTGGAACATTAGGCCCTAAGTGGGATGTCTCCATCAAAACTCATATGATTTTTAAAAAGTTATGGTCCTACTATGTAACCCAGACTGGCCTGGAAATTGAAATATTCCTATTGCAGCCTCTCAAGTGCTAGCTTATAAGCAGGCAGGCCTCTAGACCTGGATGTACAATTTTCTTAAGCAACAAAATGCAAACTGTTATTTAAATATGTTTTGTGACTTTTCCTGAGGAGATCTGAACAAATGGTTACTCACATGAAATAGGATACCCCAGAACAGGCCAAACAGACAATTCTATTGAAGTTCCACTTAGATAAACATAGTTGGAGTTACTCACTTAGAGGAATTTGCTCAATGACAGCTGCACCACTAAAAAGCTCACGCTAGCGTAAGTGATTAGTCTGAAATGCTACAACTCCAGAGATCTCAGCTGGACTTGCATGCAACTCATCGGGTCCCAGAACCTTTCCCTGGCAACTGTTTCCGGATCATAACCTTGAAGAGGGGCTCTGTGATTTAGTTTCAACTTCCTGGACTTGTATTTGTTTACTTCCTAAGTCTCATGAACTTCACTCCTCCCTTCAGGAAGTTATGTTTCAATTTGGAGGAAATTGCTATGAGGCAAACTGTAACAAAAATTGAAAAATCTTTACTTTCACAAAGATCTCTGTATTTTGTCATTTCAAAAAGCACTAAAAACAGATTGTTAATTTTTTGTGTATATTTAGATTTTCAACAGCCTTTTGTTATTACATCAAGAGCAAATTAATCAAAACCAATTATTTTTCAGATTTCCAGATGTTCTTCTGTAGTTATAAAATGATTATGATATGATAATTTATTTAGTATTTAGGCCATATTTTAAAGTAATGAATGTAAGATCACCAAAAGAAGATGTTTGTTATCTTAGCATGTTTAATGGCTGATGTGTTGTTATTATGTTAATTTGAAAGTAAAAAAGCTAGAAGATAAAGAAAAAATCAGATGTCTTACACAAAATATTTTCATCTGTCTCATTAGACTGAGCAAAACCTAGATGAAATGGCCTCTTACATAGCCAAGATGGTACTATGATTTTTGGTTAAAACAACAACAACAAAAACCCCTGAAAAAACACTAGAGGAGACAGTCTGAGCAGAGCATAAGTTCTTCATAGGTATGAGGATGCCTACCTAATACCTATGGGGAATGGTACTCAACAGTGAGTTCTTCCCACCTCCTGTGTTCCCAGCCTAGCTGATTAGTCTTTGCTTATTCCTAGTCTGATGATTTGAACAACAGCAAAACACACCGCTTCATGCACACTCATTCATTTTGTATTTAACGAATATGAGCTACAGTGATAAGCATTTTTCACAAATATTTCATTAGAGAGTGATTAAAAGAATAAAAATTAAAACATAACCATCCTACTTTGGTGAGGTGTAGTATAATTATGTAGTTACAGAATGAGGGCAGGGAATAAAAAGGAATACTAGTTAGCATGCATACTGTGTGAGTGCACTCCAGGGCAGCCTTCTCTGCCCAGAGCACAAGAATGATGTAGACTGCTGCTCCTCGCCTCATGACTGTCAGCAAAGACTCATGTCTCTCCTCCCTAACCCAGCATCCTCTTTCCATACAGACGTTACCCTGATTGTCGTTGCCTCAACTTCGGATCCTGGTTTTTGTTTTCCTTCCCAATTGCTATTATCCTTTTACTCTTGTCCTGGATCTGGCTTCAGTGGCTTTTCTTGGGATTCAAGTAAGTAGACATTTTACTTTCATGTGATAAAGGTATCTGTGACCCTTGCTTTTAAAAAGCTCTATATCCAGTGCTCTTTCTTCCCTATGCTGCACACACTATGTTTCCACATTTTTCACACTTAAAACATTAAGACACATGAACATATTTTTAGGATAGGCTGGAATAATTTAAACAATGTTGGCATTGGCAGAGCCTACTAAATACAGATCCAATCGGGTGCCCTTTGAATCTTAAACCAGTGATATAGTAACTGCTCAGAAAGGCACAAGGAGCCGGGCGGTGGTGGCGCACGCCTTTAATCCCAGCACTCGGGAGGCAGAGCCAGGCGGATCTCTGTGAGTTCGAGGCCAGCCTGGTCTCCAAAGCGAGTTCCAGGAAAGGTACAAAGCTACACAGAGAAACCCTGTCTCGAAAAAACAAAAAAACAAAAAAACAAACAAACAAACAAAAAAAAAAAAAACAAAAAGAAAGGCACAAGGAACTGATTACATTGTGGTCCCAATCCAACTATCACAGTGAGAAGCCATGTCCTCTGCTTGTTTTAGGATGAATGTCCTTAGATTATAAAGTTACTTTCCACTATCAACATGCAGCGTTTCCTGCTTCATGCTAGCTCCAAAGTTGGTAATACCTTCAAAATGTAAAGTAAAATATAATTTGAGAGGATTCTCTGTGAGGAGCTAGTAATTAGGAGAAGTGAGGTGTCTTTTTGTTATTGTTGTTTTTTGTTTTTGTTTGTTTGTTTTTTGAGACAGGGTTTCTCTGTGTAGCTTTGCGCCTTTCCTGGATCTCACTCTGTAGACCAGGCTGGCCTTTAACTCACAAAGATCTGCCTGCCTCTGCCTCCCGAGTGCTGGGATTAAAGGCATGCCCCACCACCGCCCAGCAAAGTGAGGTGTCTTTATCACTGTTCTACTGCTGTGAAGAGACACCATGACCATGGCAACTCTTATAAAAGAAAGCATTTAATTGAGTGTTTACTTACAGTTTCACAGGTTAGTCCATTATCAACATGGTAGGAAGCATGGCAGCATGCATGGTGCTAGAGAAGTAGCTGAGCACTATGTCCTAATCTGTAGGCAGAGAGAGAGAGAGAGAGAGAGAGAGAGAGAGAGAGAGAGAGAGAGAGAGAGAGAGAGAGAGAGGCTGGTATAGGCTTTTGAAATCTCAAAGCCCACCCCCAGTGACACATTTCCTTCAACAAAGCCACACCTCCTAATCCTTCTAATCCTTTCAAAAAGTTCTACTCCCTGGCAACCAAGTTTTCAAAGATATGAGCCTATAGGGGCTGTGGTAGTTTGAATGTAATTATCCCCATAAGCTCATAAAGAGTGGCAATATTAGGAGGTGTGGCTTTATTGGAGTAGGTTTAGCCTTGTTGGAGGAAGTATGCCACCATGGGGGCAGGCTTTGATGTTTCCTATGCTCAAGATGTCGCCCAGTATCAGAGTCCGTTTTCTATTGCCTTCTAATCTAGACATAGCCAGCTCCATGTCTGCCTGCATGCCTCTATGCTCTCCACCATAATGATAATGGACTGAACCTCTGAACTTGTAAGCTGCCTCTTCAAGTAAATGTTTTCCTTTATAAGAGTTGCTGTGGTCATGGTGTCTCTTCACAGCAATAAAAACCCTAAGACAGGGACCATTATTATTCAAACCACCACAAGAAGTAACTCCAGCTTCTCACAGGACAGATAACTTAGCTCTGCAAGCTCTGCCCATGATCAGTCTCAGCATCTTTCACGGTAAACATCAGGATTTACCTGTAAGTTAGGTAAGATCACTTCCAGTACCATGATGTCGACATTTAAGACTCCAAATTGAACATGAAACAACCAAAGTAAGATGCACTGGTCAATAAAGAATCACAATTGCCACTAAAATGTCAAATTCTGAATTCAAGAGAATTCTAGTATGCTGCTTTTCTAGGATTAAAGCTGGTAGTTTGGTAAACACTCAGTAGTTGTATGACTGAGATGACAGCGACCATGAAAACCACAAAGGGCTAATCAACAAAATCTGAAGTGCACCCTGCACTTTCAACTCCTTACACTCCATTAGGAATTAGGTATATCACAAATCATGAAAATATTTTCCTGAATAATAAAATATTTAAAATTCATTTTTATAGTTTAATTTAAATAACCTCAAGGACCTATGAATCAAGCAGCTGCTATTCTCTAAGACAGCTGAAGGGAGCTCAGCCACTGGGACTTCTTTTGAAAAATGGCACAGTACGGTAGGGTGTGGTGTCTTATCTGCGGCTATAGTTTCCAGGTCTATCCAGCTAATGACCAACATTTTCCCCTCTCTATTATTCCTCTTATTTTTTCTTCGTAACTGCCCAATTGTGCTAGTAGTTGGGAGATAGGACCGATGGTTTTTAAAGTGTTCTATCCAGATTGTGGAAGCAGCATGTGGCAGTCCTCCTGCTGAAGCAAATGTGTGGAATGTCACTGACTTCAGCAGGTGGCCTTCAGTGTGACAGGCCAGCTGCATACTAAGTGCCCCTCCCTGGAAATCCAAGCTTTGGGGGGCTGATTTAGTTGTACAGGTAGCAAGATTGGAAGCAGGAAGAATGATCCCCACAGTGGACATGGACACACTGTCCAGTGACTAGCCCTGCTGCTTCATTCTTTGTTCTGCTTTTAATGACTTTAAACAAATACATAGGCACCCTCCATTATTATTTTAATACAACATGTCACCGAGAATTAAAAAGATTAATACAGTAGAGAGCATGTGCTACTAAAGAGGAACCAAAAAGTCCCTATGAAATGCACTCATTAGGCAACGTCCATAAATCATGATCAGTGTTGTATTAAACGGTCCTCTTGCTGTCCACTACTGGTTAGACCTGGCAGTTTCATGTTGCAGTTAATTTTTCAGAATCCTGTTGAGTTTGCCAGGGTGTTTACCTCTAAAGGCTCTAGACTGACAAACAGAAATTAGCTGCCACTCCCCTGGCAGACTACCATACATTCTGATTAGTGTTCTGGCTGTTAGCACTACTGACTCGCTCATTGTAAACAACTCCAACATACAAGAAGCTCATCCATCAGTCTTCTGCATTTATTTCAATGGAGATGTAGACACATCCTCATATGCTTTATTGGTTTCTTTGTTTAATATTAACTTTCATTTACAGCAAAGCAAAGGCGGCTTGACCTGTTTACCGTCTGCAGCCAAAGGGACAAAGGATGTATGCAGTGTAGAGGGTGGAAAACGGTTCCTAAGGAAAAATTTTATCTTTGACTGTTGTTTTCTCTTCTACAGATAGTTCTCAAGGTGATCCTCAGATTTGTTTCTTGGAATAATAGTTTTTGTGTTGTGATTAGGGATAAAAATTTGAGACTGGCTTTAGAAACTTAACTGAAATGAAAATTTGGTTAGCCCTTCTCTGATAATAAATGAAACAATATCCAACCAATGACAGGCAGAGGTCATTGCGCTTGCATGAGGGTGACTGTGAATGCTTAGGATGGGTGCCTTGAGAATCACAGAAATTCTGTTCACCCAGGTACTAGAGAGGCAGAGGCAAGTAGATTTCTGTGAGTTCAAGGCCAGCCTGGTCTACATAATGAGTTCCAGGACAGCCAGGAGTATGTAGAGAGACCCTGTCTTAAGCAAACAAACAGACAAACAACAACAGCAAAGAGAATCAAGGAAATCCTGCTCCTTCAAAAAGGAAGCATGGAACAATGTTTTATAACAGAGTTACATGGAAAATGATGACCAAGCATGAACTCTATCTGTGTTGGTAATTACTTTCTCACTGTTTCATCGTCCTTCTCACTGTCTCCTAAACTACAACTTTGCAGAAGATTGTTTCTGTGTTTACTGCTCACACAAAAGGACCTAACTGAGCTACTCATCATCATTCCAAGAGACAATCCCTAAGAATCTAGTTCCCCTTTTGATTCTTCCTCCGGGGGGGGGGGGGGGTTTGAAAAATATTACATCTAGAGTTATATCCCACAAAAATTGTTTAAAATTTTAAAGATCCTAGACTTCGAGACAAAATCATAATAATAATCACAGTGAAGAGAGGCTACAACTGCAAGCAGCTAAAGGTAGAAATGGAGTGGTACTTAGGCCGAAGAGAACATCTATGTTTCTTTTCTGTCCCTGCCCTCCATGCCTACATAACAAGATGGAACTTCCATGTGTTCAGAACTTAGCAACCAAGATGCTCCATAAATACACATTTTAATGTAACAGAATTATCAAATATATAGCACATACTTATAATTATCATTGTATGGAGACTGATAGAGGTGAGTGGTACACGGAAATATGTGAGTAGTACAAGAGATCTTTGAAAGGGAGTAGATGGGTAGATGTCATGGAAAACAAAGCAAAATTAGACATTTAGAAGTGAGCAAGCCAGACAATACAGAGAACAGTCAATGAAAGAGACATAGGCACAGGGCAAGGGCTCCTGGTGTCAGCAGAGAATCACAGCTATGAAACTCTCACAAACGTTCTTCCATAAAGGAGGGTGGTGATAGAATAATTTCCTTAACTCTAAAGTTTTCTTATCTGTTTCAGCTTTAAGGAGATGTTCAAATGTGGCAAAACCAAAACACTCAAAGAAAAGGCGTGTGCTGAGGTGATCAAGCAAGAATATGAAAAACTTGGGCCAATGAGGTAAGATATGCATGAGTGCACATCACACACACACACACACACACACACACACACACACACACACACACACACACACACTACATGCATGCAAACCCGCACAGATAAACACAAGCAGTTAATGTAAAGCAAATAATCACGTATTTGCCAGCAAGGATGCCATAACGCTTGACTAAGACCACAAACCTGCAAAATTCAGTGACTATAAGCCGCTAAAATGAAATACATACCAGTGCCCAAGTAAAATTTGCTAGGTAGAAAAACAAAAACAAAATCCAGAGAATCTGAGGAGAAAAGGCATTTTCTAAGAGCACCCATACTCTCCAAGTAAGAACGTATCATGTTCCCACAGTGGCCATGACCTGTGAAGATTAGCTTGACAACAAACAGCTCAGAGTTTTCCCAAATGTTGGGAAAATAAGAAATGACCACAGAGGGTTTTTCTACAGGTATCAGGAAATCGTGACCTTGGTAATCTTCATCCTAATGGCCTTGCTATGGTTCAGTCGGGATCCTGGCTTTGTTACTGGTTGGTCGATCCTGTTTTCAAAGTAAGTGTTAATGTGAGTCTGGCAGCCCTTCCTTCTGTTCAGTGCCGTGTCATGGCTACATATGCCCTACAACTTTGAAAAACTGCATGAGATGCTTTGTTCATTTCTTTGGAAAAAGTATTTTTATGTCTAATCTTCTTGGGGGTGAGGTATTAAGGATAAGTTAAGAAAGCAGAAAAGGATGACCATTATACCCTGTATAAAAATGAGGGTCCATTAGACATGGGGCTATTCCCTCAGGATAAAGTTAGACATTTGAGCTGCATAGAGGCTAGAATCTGCTCTGGTTAGGATGGTGGCTGTGAAAGCCGCACCCACCTGACTACGCTCTGGAAACTTCTGTTTATTCTGGACAAGTCACTGCACACGCTCTCACTTCCTTTACCTGAAAGTTGGAAGTTACAGTAGCACAGAGAATACTGCTATTTTTTTTTCTAGTAAAAATGATAAATAAATATTGTGTGACATAAATGCTACACAGTGTGTTCTCAGTCTATTTTCGACCAATATGCTCTGGTTCTTAAATCTAGAAGAGTTTCATCTTGGACTTCTGGTCTCACACCCCCAGCAAGAATCCACATAGTTTGGGAGCACAAATCAAAACTGTTTGAGGCAGATGTAATTTGGCCTGATGGAAGAGAGAAACACCACCTTATCTCAGCCTCACTTTTCTGTTTTCACAGGCATTGTTGGTATGTTTTTTTAAGGTGCAAAGGATGAATTCAAATTTCTTATGCATTGCTTGCCTCAAGCAATGCATGAGGTGGGATAGTTTGAAAGATCAGCTTGGTCCTTTTGATTCCTTTAGGCAAAGAACTTCTCGTTTTGATGCAAAAGCATCATCAAATTATTTAAAACAAGCTATTGTCCAATGGAAGATTAATACTTTGTATTTTTCTAATAGGATTTAGAGTAAAATAAATAAATAAATAAACAAACTCCACCTCCCTTTAAAATCCAATGTCCAGCATTATAAACTCTCTCTCTCTCTCTCTCTCTCTCTCTCTCTCTCTCTCTCTCTCTCTCTCTCTCTCAACAGTAATGTATTGAAAACATAGCAAATAAAAACTAGGAGACAATCCCAATAGAATATTCAGGATAATCAGCATCTAATTTTTCTTCCTTACAGAAGGATACCATTATTCAGGAGATGTTTTTTGTTTGTGGCAGGAAAACAGGTCTGCTATGAGCAGTTGTTTCTGCTGTCACCCCGCACTGTGAGAGACAGCAATAGGAAAGGGGGAAAGGCTTGACAGAGGACAGAGCTTGAAAATATAAATAAAACAATCACAAGGCAAATAAAATCTGTATAGGATTAATATTTGATAGTGCTGAGATAACCCAGTTCATAATGAATCAAAATTCAAAGTAATAAATAAAACAATTATAATTTAAAATGTTTTATGAAAATGTCTGTCAACATTTATATCTGGATTTATCTAAAGTATGTATTCTGTAAAATATATGTATGATGTGCAGATTTTAGGCAGTTACAATTTCTAAAAGGGGGTATGATATATTAAGATTTATTGCTACCACCTAATGTTTTCATTCCATCTGTTCGAATCTGGACTGATTTCAGTATGTCTTTTCATATAAAACAAAATCCAGTTACATGACACCTGGCCTAGTTTGGCAAAAGCTTAGCCAAGAATTGTAACTAAAATAGAATAATAAGGAAACAATATATTTACAAGGATTGGTCAGGTTTTTTAGAAATAATTAAGTCACTGTAGGTTTTTAGTCAACAAGAAAAGAAAGTAAGCCTCTATTTAAGATAATTTTTAAAAAATTATCAAATTGAGAAAAATAATGTACTTCCTTGATTATTTAGATTTTTATGTATAAACTATAAGAGCATGCACACTTGCATAGCAAATAGGTAGATTGAGTTATAAGATAGAAAAGAAAGCCTTATGATGTACATGTTTCTTCAGGCTACAAAAATGCACGTAGTTGGTACTGCTGACATCTAAAGCTGTATTCTAATTATTTGTGTCTGTTTCATTTGTGTAATGTCCAGGTGCCTCTTAACTGCTGAGCTTCCGGGAACCTGTCTTTTTGCTAGAATGGTCTGGCAATTCTTAGCCCCATCTGTTCCCGAATTACTCTTAATTTGCACAGGGCTCATTTGTGAGCATCTCGTAAGCCATTCTGATAATTAATCTTCTTAAGTTTCTAGAAGGCAAAGCATCAAATGGGGTTGATTTCCTTTGTAGGTAGGTCTAGTGCCCACTGCAGAAGCAGGTGTTTCATCCCAGAAACCAGATCAATTTGCTTTCACAGTTTATAGAGGAGTTTGAGGGGACACTAGCAACAGCATGTCTCCCTAAATTCAATAGAATGACATTATAAATCAATGACATGGGTCTTTGCCAAACTCCAGCAACTGTTTAAACCTCAATTCTCTGACATTATAATGAAAAGCAATATTAGAAAGTGAAAACTGGTTAACACACCTGAAGGTTTACCTGAACATTTTGCTCTGTTGGTCTGATAAGGAATCATCTGTTTATTTGGTATTGACAATATGAGAAATGTATTGAATTATTAGGAATGCATTCTGAAATGGTTGGTCCTTATAAGTTACATCATTTCCTAGGAATCTATGTGTTTTAGAACAGATTTTCCACAGTAAATGACCTATATTTATTACCACTTCTATTTAATTATTATTAACATAATTAACTGACATCTTATCTCATGTAACTTCTTCATACCATTTTTAATGTACTCATTTGTTCATATTTTTTAGGTACTCTGGTTATGTTACAGATTCAACTGTTGCTTTAGTTGCAGGACTACTTTTCTTTCTGATTCCAGCTAAGGAACTGACAAAAACTACATCTACGGGAGAAATTGGTTGAGTATCATTTCTAATACCGAATTTATAAAAGACCTTTTGAAGAAATTAAAATTCCATAAGCTTTAGTTAGCACATAGGATATTAAAAATGGCCATGCCAGCATAACCTCTATCTTAGCATATCTCACTTATATCCTGAACCCCCTACTCAGCCAGCGTTTATCTCTACCTACAGGAAGATTTACTAGAGTTTGCAGAAGTGAAAAGTAGATTTCCTTTTATACCCAGGTTCCAGTTCTTCTATGGGGGAATACGACCACATACCCTGCCAAAATCAGAATTTGACTAACAAGAAAAGAAGGATTTACAGTCACATTTTTGTGATGTGACCTCAGTAATAACTTTGAGGACCCAGAAAAGGGTGAATTTCACGAGAAAGATTACTTAGAGTTTCACAGAAGTCCTTGAAGAAACAGAGAACAATTCCCATGTGGAAATAACCTGGGGTCACAACTGGAAAAGTTGCTCAGTAGGAGCACTGACTGTACTCACAACCCATGGACAAAGAAGTACACACATCTGCAGGAGCATGCATTCTCCTACATGCACTGCTTACTCACGATTCATTCATGCCTGTGCTTTATGTTAACATCCGCTTTCAGGGGCTGTATTCTTTTGTTACATACATAGGGAAAATGGGTTATAACAGTTTGGAAACACAGTTTCATGTTGGCTGCTAACATAAATAGCCTGACAACAGAACACCATAAAGAAGGGGAGGCTTTGGCTTACTACCCTGGGTACAGTCCATCATTGGGTAGACACAAAGGCAGGAACTTCAGTCACCTTACATCCACAGTCAAGAGCAAAAGGAAACAAATACATTCATGATTTTGAAGCTTCTTCTACTCTTATAAAATCCAGGGCTCATCGCATGAAATGGTATGATGCACAGTTGGCTGGGTCCTCCCACATCAATGAACAGTCAAGACAGCCCACCACAGACATACTCAAAGGCCAAACCAATCAAAATCATTTTTCATTGAGTCTCCCTTCTTTGCTGATTCTAGATCATGTCAACTTGACAGAGTTCAATACACCATCCTATAGTAAGAGTAGAAAGATGAGTCAATGAATGACTGGTATTACTAATGACAGCATCATAATAATTTATCTAAATGTACCTCAAATATTATCTGAAGGATTTGTCCAAGTTACTTTCTAGTAGTTTATTGAAGTATTTTTTATGTATATTAGTGTCTTCCTGCACCTATGTGAATCCCTTGTGCCTGTAAAGGTCTGAAGAGAGTGTCAGATCTAGAACTGGAGTTACCGACAGTTGTGAGCCACCATGTAGATGCTAGGAATTGGACTCATGTCCTTTGGAAGAACAGCCAATGGGCTTAACTGCTGAGTCATCTCCCCAGCTGCAAAGTTATAGCATTTTTAATCATTATAATACAATATTCCACCTAAGGTCAGTGGAAACTCAAAGTTGAGATCTAATCGCTGCCTTGAAAACAGTATCATAATATTGTAAGTTTCTTGTAAAATGACTATTCAGGATACCGATAAAATTGTCAGATTTTCTTATTTTCAACAATATTTAACTGTAGGGTTTTTGTTTTGCAGTTGCTTTTGATTACTCTCCCCTGATTACTTGGAAAGAATTCCAGTCATTCATGCCCTGGGACATAGCCATTCTTGTTGGTGGAGGTTTTGCCCTGGCAGATGGCTGTCAGGTAATGCTCAGTGTGTAAGATATTTAACAATTAACTAGGTGGTTGAAAAGAAGAATACAGACACACTCAAGCTTTGGGCATATTCACCTTTATCCTCTAATTTTAATAATGCAGAATTCAATAGCCATGCAGTATCCCACACAGATGAGGTGAGTTCAGAGTCCAAGAACTTTTACAGGCTGCAAGCATAAACAATAATGCTATGGTGTCTCACCATGTCAAAAAATAATACAAAGAAGATTTAAATTCTTACTCCATGATATTATATTAGTAGCTTAGTAAGAGCAAAAACTTAGATTAAAAAACATGATTCCTAATGGAACATGTTTGTTTGCTTGCTTATATTTTTACATTATTTCATTTGGAATTTGTGTGGTTCTTGAGTTTCAATTCAATAAGCCATCATTTTGTCATTGTCAAATAAAGAAAATAAAACATAACACCATAAATAAATATATCTAGTGAATGAAGTCCAGAAAATTTAATGTGACAATTTCTAATATATTATATCCACTGTCAGGAAGAAATGAAATCATCATGAGTTAGGCAGATGGCCACTTCATTGATCTATTCACCAGCTGATACAAAGCAAGCTCCTATCCCTTCTAATTGCCCTGGTCATTGTAGAATTGCTAGAAAAAAATTATCCTCTCTAAAAATTCTTGGGCACATTTATATACAAACAATGTCGAATGGACTCAGTAAGTTATACATATATATATATATATAGATAGATAGATAGATAGATAGATAGATAATACATATGAATAATAATATATAGACCATGAATCTAGTGAGGGAGACATGGGAGAAGTTTGGGGAGGGGAGCTTAGGAGTGGTGTTGATGCAGCATCAATGTATGAAGCTCTCAAAAATTTTTTTGAAAAAGCCAAGAATATCCTTCTGTCTGACTACAAACTGTTCACTTATGGGTTTCATGGCTTTCTTTAAATACTCAGAGCTTATTTGCATCCATTTCCATACTCAGTCACAAGCACAAGACTGGCAAGGGAGGAGTTGTGAAACGTCCCCTGGCTTCTTAGAAGTCGTATGTTTATGTATTTATTTCAATTCTCGGGACAAACTGTTATCTTTTCTTCTTGATAATTTGTTAGGAGAATATTATTTGCTTCTAACTTTATTACTAGTTTCTGTATAGTATTTAGATTCTAAGCTTTAGCAATAGGATTTAGTAATAACTGTAAGTTTTGGAAATCATCTCAATTCAGAGAGCCTTTTGCAAAATTGCTTTAGGCTTAGATTTGCCTTGCCTCATAACCTGTCCAGATAAAAATGGTAGAAATATATAAGACAATAACGATTTTCTTTTCTACTATTTCAGCAGTAATGAGATCTGAATTCTCAGAATAAATAACTGCCATCTCTATGTCTGCTGATTTGAACTGTGAGGAAAGCAGAATCAGAAAGTCTGGCATTCATAAGAATTTTGCTCATCTCTCCTCAAAATATGTCTAGACTGGATTCTAGACACTCAAAGTGGCTTTGAAAGCATCGACCAGACCCTAGAACAGCCAAATCTGAGGAAATGAAAAGGTGTGGACTTAGTTGAATGCACATGGCTCTCTCAGTGGAAAAATTAGAGAAATCTTGGAGGGAGGACTAATTCATTGTAAAAATCCTAGTAACCAGAATCTGCATTATACAAGAATTTCCAGAAAAAACTATTCCTGAGTAACCAAACTGAAGTCATCAGCTTCTCAGAAAAAAAAAGTCTGTACACAAATATGACCCTAAAGGTTGTTTTTTTTTAATACTAGGAGACAACTTGAAAAACATTTATTCAAAGTTATAATTTGTCTGGCAAGTGTCTCAAGCCAGGGAATATTTCTAATTGAAAGAAAACATGAGATAGCAATTATGCACTATTTACCTCATGCTGTGACTCTTAAATGCTCTGATTTGTTTTAGAGATGATTGATGTCCCACAAAGTGATAGACACTGTCCAACTCTAACCAGTTAATAATTTCTTTATTGTTGGTTTTTTACATATTCCTCAAATGCTTTTTTGAAGATAACTCTAAAAAATTAAAAACTATTTTCTCAAATATTCCTAAGCTCCCAAGAACATAATAATAATAATGACAAAAACTCCTACCAGTCTTTAAAGGTTAAAAACTGTGTAGTACAGTCAATAACAGGCAAAAGGTGTTCAAAACCACACACAATAGAAGGAAAATATTGTAGGAATAAATGGTTTTGTGCAAGTAGATGAAGTACATAGGTCAGAAAATGGAAGAGTCCTCAAGAAATTAGGTGATTTAATAGTAAGATCCTGAAAGTGAGAAGCAATTGGAAGCAACAGATCATATTGTAAGCATGGAAGAAGCCAGAGCTGGATATTAAAGATGGTTTTAAAAGCTTCCAAGGTTATGCGAATTCTTCAAATCTATCCCCACTCATGAAGGGCCACAGAGCCTTTAGAAAATTGCCTTATTCTGTAGCAAAGTTGAAGCATCGTCTTCATCAACAGTCCTTGCTTATCACCAAGAGCTTTAAATCACCATTTAATAATCTCTTTAAATAAAAATGAGTAGGTAGTCAAGAGTCACTAGATAGTTGGGGGAAAACCCATATAAAATAACCAAAGACAAAAAAATAAAATGAACATAGAAACAAGAAGAAATGGAACAAGGAAAAGGTGAAGCGAATGAACAAAGCAAAAAACACTTTAAATTTTGTCATTGGTGCCTCAAAGAGACATAAGAAACATTAAAGATATAAAAAGTAAAATACCATTTAAAAAGTAATCCTCTAAAATTTAGAATTGTATCAACTTCATATTTAAAAGTCAGCAACACTGTTCAAAGATAAAATCAAAATATATCAGAAATACAAAAAAACTATAAAAGTCAGTAAAAACTAAAAAGATATGACTGTCAAGTGCCAAGTGATCAGCCTACAACATATACACACAAGCAACACTAACACTCTAATATATATATTATATATGCAGTCATGTATGTGAGTCTGGGTATGTGTGTGTATAACAATAATAAAGAAGGGGGCATGAATTTGAGAGGGGATGGGGGGCATGGGAAGGGTTGCAGAGAAGAGAGAGGGGGAAATGATGTAACTCCATTTTAATTAAAAAATGAAGTAAAATTGTGAAAAGATAAGAAAACTAGAGCACTAGTCTACAAACTCCTCAAGAGTCTGTTTAGAAAGAGAAAAAAAAGTAGAAAGGAAGGCCATTTCTAACAACAGCACAAGTAATTTCTCAGAAGCGAAGCCTCCAAGATGCTTGGCTAAGAGTGCTATTAAGAGGTTCGTGCTGGAGAAATTCATGAAGAGTCCACATTTTAGATCTCAGAATCTTGAGGTAGAGATAGAATCATAATGGACTCCAGAAAGAATCCCAAACAAGTGGTGCATTACTCTCAATCAGACCTAGATAAAACACATTCTTCCTGCTAGGAATCTATGTCCTTGTACTTCAGTTTTTATACTTCTAACCACTATAGTCAGTATCCATACCCATATATGTATAAATCCATAAAGCTAATATCCAAACCCAGCTATGGCTCATTGGATAAAATGCTTCCTCTATGAGCTTGAGGAACAAACTTCAAATCCCCAAGACCCGTGTAAATGGCAGGTGGGTGTGGTAGCCCTCTGTAATTCCAGAGCAAGCTAGATAGATAGATTAGCCATATCAGTGGACTATGGGGTCAGCTGAGAGAACTTGCCTCCACATATAGCATGAAGAGCAGTCAAGACTCTTGATATCAAACCCAGGCTTACACACACACACACACACACACACACACACACACACACACACACACAAACATGTGCCCCCACACATATAAACACACACAACACAAACATACAAGTACTAAAATACAAACAAATAAAATAGTTAATTCTGTATATGAATCAAAACAATGAACAATACAACTGATATCTAGTGTCCATGTCTGCGATATTTATATTCACTTTGGAACTGAATTTACTACTTATAACCAAAGTTCCTTCTGACGCATAGCCTAGTTTGTCATAAGTGTAATCTCATAAAAGGTAGATTTTTTTTCTTCTAGGGGGAAAAACAGAGTAGCAAACCTATTAATCGGAGTGCAGGCAATTTTTGGACTATATGCAATCAAAGACCAGTATTCAGTCAATCTAAAGAACTCCACAGTAAAACAAAGAAAATAGATTATTAGCTTAACATTGCTGAACAGTTTCAATGATTTCAAAATTAGAATTCTCAAAATCAGAACTAGAAAAACAGTGTGAAGAGAAATGAAAGAATTTTCAGACCTATAGAGGCTCTGCAAAAGTGCCTTCAGTCCAACAATCTCAGCACATATGAAAGGATGTGCTTCTCCAAATGAATGGAATGAAGGAGGGGTTCCCACAAAGCAGAGTGGTGAGGACAAGGAGGAAGTTAAGTAAGTTTAAAATGAATCTAGTCCAGATGGAGTGGAGGGAGGCTCTATTCCAGGACACACAACTTGAGGGAACATGAACAAAACAAACCCACTTACTCCACGTGTTTGTTTGCTTGTTAGATAGGTCCCCAGATAGTTTGAAGAGCATGATGAATTAGTGATAGGTACTTAGAAAACTAAGCAAACAGAATAATGTTTTCTTTGGCAAACAAAGAAAGTAAATATAATCTTAGATAGTTAAGTGGCTCAGCAATGAACAATATTTATATAATTACAGCAGTAAATATCAAATATTGATTTAACTAAAGTATTGCTATTAATGGGGAATTAAAAGGTAGAAAATATATGTATGATGAATGGCATAAGAAAACATAATCCTCGGGTAACATATTAAGAAATCAATAAATAATGTTTCAAGTTGAAATTTTAAGAAAAAGCATAATTAGAATGTTAATTTGAAAGATAACTATATTAATACCTAAATATCAGTGTAAATAGCTAACAGCAGTTGAAAGTTCTTGCTCTGGGGGGTACATCTTAGAAGAAGAGAGAGGAGCCTGAGGGCTTCCCTCTTCTTAAAGCTCTATAGTCTATCATGACTCATCAAGACATTTACATATGTTAGCTACATAAAATTAAAATCTAATTGAAAAAAGCATAGAGAAACCATTTAAACTTCTTAAAGCATGGCAATAGTATTAAAATAATTCTGAAAACTTGTCCATATAAAAACTACCAAAAAACAAGAATATGGGAAGTGATATTTCAGAAACTAACTCATAAATACTTGTGTGTGTGTGTGTGTGTGTGTGAGAGAGAGAGAGAGAGAGAGAGAGAGAGAGAGAGAGAGAGAGAGAGAGAGAGAGAGAGAGAGATTAAATTGCAATTCATTAAAATGAACGGAACAGTTGTGTATCTTGGTCTATTTGTGGGACTCCTAGAAGTGAGATCAGGACCTGTCCCTAACGCTTGGGCTGGCTCTTGGGAACCTATCCCTCATACTAGGTTGCCTCGTCCAGCCTCAATACAAAGAGAGGAGCTTAGTTCTACCTTAACTTGATATACCATGCTTTATTGACACTCATGGGAGGCCTGCCCCTTTCTGACCAGAAACAGAGAAGTGGATTGGGGACCAGAGGGGAGGCAGAGGGAGGGAACAGGAGGAGAAGGGGGAAAGGAAACTGTGGTCGGGATGTAAAATTAATGAAAAAAATAATTAATCAAAATGAATTATGTGAATAATAAATACTGCAAATTTGTTTTTTTAGGAATCAGGACTATCTAGCTGGATAGGAAGTAAATTATCTCCTTTAGGTTCATTACCAATTTGGCTAATAATTCTGATATCTTCTTTGATGGTCACGTCTTTGACAGAGGTAGCCAGCAACCCGGCTACCATCACCATTCTTTTCCCAATATTGTCTCCTTTGGTGAGTATTACATTTATATTGTTTTCCTTGAGAGTAGGTTCTGTTGTTGTTTTGACTGTAAGTTCTCACCTGTGGTATGGAGTTTCTTTTGGCCCAAATGGACCTTCTGTAAGCAACTTATATGGTCTTTATCTGCACCAGGTGACATTTGCTCAAGGGAACTATGCTTCACTTTCAAGTAGTGTAATCTTTAGTAAACAATTTACCTTCTCTCTGTCTGGGTTTTTGTTTTGTTTTGTTTGAATTTGCAAATGTGAAATCATTCTGGATCCATTGCAGCTATAAGATGACTCATAGTTCCTGGCACCATAAAATATCTCCCTTCAGAACAGTGTTCCTAAGTTTCTGAAAAGTTCTTCCTATAAGAGATGGAATTTTTCATTCTTCTCTCTCTGCTTCCCCTGCTCCCCCTCCCTGCCTGAAGCCCTGCTTATAAACCTCAATACCCAGTCAATAAACGAGACCTTGACGTGACTCAAAAAAAAAAAAAAAAAAAAAAAAAGAGATGGACAGATGAATGAGAATGAGAAATAGTCTTAACCATGAGGCCTAAATACCTTAGGCAATTCTCTGATGCCCAAGAAATAAATGAGACAATTTGCTAAGAGAGGTAGAAAGACCCCCTTTTCCATGCTCCATAGCAATTACATGAGATAGCTTCGTGTGAAATGTTTTTCTGATTTAGGTGGGTTATTTTGGTGAAAAGAAAGCACTTTAAATTAAGAATTGTTTTAAGGAAACAACCAGGACAGTCTCTCTGAACATGCTTTCCAGATACTCCACAGGGTTATATACTCACAGACTTGAGTTGCTGCTTCAAATTAGAAAAGAACATAAAGATTGTCTATCAATTGTTTATTGGCAAGAAATCACAGGCAAAATGCCATTTCAGCTTTCTGCGTTCTGTTTTTATTTAGTGAAATTAAGTTTTTAGAAAATTATGCAATGAGTTTCAGATAATAACAATTCTTCTTAAGTAATGATCACTGAGGAATTTCACATTTTTCACAGAAATGATTGAATTAGTAGTACACTAAAAATCTCTAGGGCCATAGGCACCCAGGCCTCCTCCAGATTCTCTTGGGTGTCAGCTGCATGCTTGATAATTTCTTCGGTGTCTCTGACCTCAGTGACATCATCTATTATTTTGAGCTATACTAGCCAGCTTAAAATATTCTAAAATGTTTAAGAATATACAAAGATATTATGTTATATAGTATATCATGTGCATGTATATACACTAATTATATAATAAATCATTTTGGTTTTATGTAATTTCTGAGATAAGTGATATTTTACTTTCTAAATGAATAATAATATAAAGGTCTAAATATGTAACAATAACCATAGAAATAAGAGACACTTTAAAATTCTCTAAAAAGTTTTAAGTTATGCAATATTTTATGCTTTTAGATTTCAACTTGATTCTGGGAAAGTATTTTACAATAGGTGTGTTCATTTTCATGTTTGGTGCCCACCCTCAGCATTTTAATCCAACTCTCGTTTGGCTTTTACCGCAGGCTGAAGCCATTCATGTGAACCCTCTTCATATTCTGCTGCCTTCCACACTCTGTACCTCATTTGCATTCCTTCTGCCAGTTGCAAATCCACCCAATGCTATTGTTTTTTCATACGGCCACCTGAAAGTCATCGACATGGTAAGTCAGCAGCTGAAAAAACAGGATGTCCCCCAATGCACCACTCTACCTGCTGGTCCAAACAAGCGCTACCCTTGCACTCTAATCAACCACTGAGAAAATTAGGGTTTCAAGTCTGTTTCTAAAACTATGTGCATGACTGGTCATAGAATTATTTTTAAAAAGTGGACATGCCATTAGAGTTTATGGTCACAAATAAAGATGTGGAATGCATGAGCACAGGTTTGGGGAAAAGAAAAATAACACAGAATTTCTTAACGTGACTTCTTCAAATTATGGCAAGATTAGGATCCAACCTAAGGCAAGAAGAAACAGGGTCAAAAACCTTCATCAATCAAAACAACACTAAGGTTCTGTACTACAAATGTTTATGAAATATTTGCTCTGAATAAAACACTGCCCAGTGCCTGAGGAAAAGTCTCTTTCCTTTAGATTCTAACACTTGTAGGGTCTCTGTGAGAAACAAAGGCAAATTTAAGTGATAAAACATACATTTTGTCTCCAAATACAAAAACCATGGTATCTGAGAACGAATTTGAGAATATTCTAGTTTTAACCCAAACTCATCACCAATATCCAACCCAACCCAAACAAGAATACAGTCAAAGTCAATTCTCTGGAGTTTGCTACATACATGGAGTTACAAAATGTGTTCCTGTTCCTTCTTTCCACCCAGATTGCTATCCCTGCGTCCAAGCAAAATAAAACTTCTGGGAATGTTTCTATATACAAGGCACATAACATCTTGTTGGAAAACAGAATATATTTAACATAAAATATGACATATATGTATACATGTGCATATGTGTGAATACAAAAAGACATGTAATAAATGAGTGGCTTGTATGGATAGAGAAAAGGGTCTCCATAGTAATCATGTTAAATATTTCCCTTTTGCTTTGGAAAGCCATTTTTTTAATGCAGAGAATCAGGAGTAGCTCAACATTCACTGTGAGGGGACAAGCCAGGACTGTTTCAGGCTTTGCAGGCCACAGAGTCTTTGTCACAATTACCCTCCTCCACTATTGTATTGTATAACCAGCCAAAGATATTATATAGACAACTGAGCAAGGTTATGGTCTAGGGGAAAAAAAATAAACTATAGTAAGAAAAGCAATGTAAGAGCAGAAGTTGACAATCTCTAATGTGTAAAAAAACTATTTTGAGATTGTTCAATGGACACTAGAAGTATTATGTAGGAGTTTCAAAAATAGCACCACTAAAGAAGAGGAATATCAGTGACAGTACAACTTCTCCAATAAAGACTGGCTGCGTGGGAAACCAATAATGTCAGGTGATCCTGAAGAATGCAGTTATCACATGGCATTCTGAAACCTATCCTCTGAGAAAGAAGATCATCAATCTCCAATTATAACTTGACATACAAGGGCAGATTGACTTACATCTATTCCTAAGAGAAACCCGTCTGGTGCTGTCAAAATGATAGTTGGGGACAGATTCTCATTTGACGTGAAAGAAAGAATATCCCTAGTTGATGATAATCACAAGTTATATAGATCATTGAGGGTGCATGGAAATCAGGTTTATGCTTTGTGTGGTGCAATTCTGAAATCTTTGTACAATTTTTTCCCCTGGGAGACTGAAATTTATGTTTTCTCCCTTTTCTAGGTTAAAGCTGGACTTGGAGTAAATATTTTGGGAGTTGCTGTGGTGATGCTGGGCATGTTCACCTGGATCGAACCTATGTTTAACCTCTACGAGTACCCTTCCTGGGCTCCTGACTTTCTTAATCAGACCATGCCATGACAAGCACAAAATTGCCACCTACTTCATGGTGACTTTTGGACTTGCTAAGAATTCATTGTAAGATGTAGCTGTATATAACTGACACATGTAAATCAGTGATATAGTCATTACAGCTCCAATGCATGCCTCCCACTCGCTGTCATAGAGCCTATGTCTTTTGAAATACAACCAAAGAGCATCTGCATGCCTTCCTCCAGAAACCCAAGGTTGAAATTGTGTTGGCAGACCGTGTACATGCTCTTTCTCCATAAAAATGGTGCCAATGACCTTTAAAGCAGTTAGGCCATTTGCTACATCTTAAACCTGGAGTTCAGTGTAACATTTCAAACATCAATTTATTATTTGAAAATCTTCTTATGAAACTAAAAGCAGAAAATAAAGTATAAAAGTAAATGAGATACTTGGATAAATCATTTCTATAGTGTTTGTCAAGGGAATTTGCTAAAGAACCAAGCTGTGGTCATTTGGTGTAATCAAAGTAAAATGTGTATTTATTTATTTATTGAAAAGTCCAACTGCATTATTACTAAGGTGTAGGCAAGATGAATTGAAATTATAATAGTTACAAATTCCAAAATCCATTGAATCTGCTTGGTAGTGGAAAATTCATAATGATTAATTTATGTGTGTCCATATAAACAGGCTACTATTTTATGCTTCTGTGCTGAGCAATGCATTTTGAATAGTTATGAATAAGTGAGTTATGATTTGTAGTATTTTTGTAGTAGAGTTAGAAAGCTGTGCATTAGGGCTATCCACACATTGATGCAATGTATAACCTTTGCATCTGTCAGCACAGAATCACAGTCCTTTGGATTCTCTCCTGCTTAGTCTCATAGAGGAAAAAAACTAAATAAGGCCCTAGTTTCACAAACCCTGGGTTGACATAAAGATTACTGTAACACGAATCTTAAAAGGCCTTATTAATAAAATCAAACCTGAAGCCAGATATTGGAGTGAATGCTGGAAGATCAGAGAAGCAGAACAAGCCACAGCTTTCTCACCTAGCCAATTCCTCAGCTGATCCTGTTTCCTCAGACTGGAAGCCTCTGAGTCCTCATCCAAATGGATCTCAGCTGAACTGCTGCTCAAAAGCCTAAAAGCTTAACCAGGCTCTTGTTCTAGGTCCTCACGCCTTATATATCTTTCTGCTTTCTGCCATCACTTCCTGGGATTAAAGGCGTGAGTCACCATGCCTGACTGTTTCCAGTGTGGCTTTGAACTCACAGAGATCCAGATGGATCTCTGCCTCCAGAATGCTAGGATTAAAGGTGTGTGTACCAGCATTTTCTGGCCTCTATATCTATCTAGTGGCTGTTCTGTTCTCTGACCCCAGATAAGTTTATTAGGATGCACAATATTTTGGGGGACACAATATATGCAAAGTTTGAAGATCATAACCAGAAGCATACTAATTTCTCTCTAGTACTATGATAACGTTGCTTAACTTCCTTTGGAGGGACCTGTAGCCACTTTTGTCATAGATACTGACTCTTCACTTGGGTTAACAGATGTCTAGTAGGTGACCATAGCAGGATAAAAACATTTAAAATCCCTTCTTCTGATTGTTTCCATTACTTTATTCTAATTAAATTTATTTTTATTTTAAAAAGAAAACAATATATGAAAAATGAGCCATTAGTTAAAAACATTACTGCATATAGAAGAAAGTCACATATTTCCATTGTATAAATACTAAAATGAGATAGAAGTAAAATACAGAATAAAAAATTAAAAAGACGAAAGAGAAAAACTACTTATGATCAGAGGAAAAAGAAAACCAACCTCAAAGTATATAGACAAACAAGCAATGAGATGGAAAAAAGAAGAAAGATCTTTGGCATTCCAAACCTGGACAAACAAAAAAAAAATTATCAAAACCAAAATAATCTGCCCAGTTAGGAAAGGATTGAGGTGTTAGAAAATGTAATTTATCCTGATAAAAATGAAATGGAGGACAAAAATACACCTTTGCTTTTTAATTCTCATAAGCACATTTTTTGATGTTAAAGACCTTGTTTGGAAATTTTTTAAAAAGATACATGAAATTAAATACCAAGAGAGTTCTAAAAATTGATATATCTTTTTACTAACTTTTTATTATTTACACTGATTTTTAAATTTAAATATATTTTGATCATATTCTTCTCCTCCAAGTTCTCCCAGATTCTCTTCCCCTCCCTACCCACCCAACTTTACGTTCTTTTTCAAGAAACAAACAAAAACCCAATACAACAAAAGCCCCAAAACTAAGTGGGGGGAAAACATCACTCCAAAACAAAAACAAACCACCCATCAAACTGTAGCCAAACAAAAGTACACAAAACAAATGAGCAAACAAACAAAATGTGGAGTGGGTCATATGTTAGTCATCTACTCCTGAACATGAAGCCTGTCCTGGAGTGGCTGATATAGCCAGTGTCACTCTACTAGAGAAAAAAAGATTTACCCTCTTCCAGAAGGTATTAGTGACAGTTCAGTTGTTAACCTTTACCCTGGTGGCGAGATTTTCATTCATGCATTCGTTCATTCATTCATTATTTATTAATTCATTTTTTTGAAATATAACAAAATATAATATAATAAGATAAAACAAAAACTATCACATTGAAGTTGGACAAGACAAATCCACAAAAGGAAAAGAACCCAAGCGAAGGTTCAAGAACCAGATGCCTGCTTTTTTACATGCTTGGAACTGGAAGCCATTGTATGTACACAGAAAACCTGGTGCAGACTTTTGCTGGCCCTGTGCTTGCTGCTTCAGTCTCTGTGAGTTCATATGAATTTTGATCATGTTGATTTAGAGGGCCCTTTTTTTCTTAGTGTCCTCCAACCCTTCTGGCTCTTACATTCTTTCTGCTTCCTATTCCATGCCCTGAGCTCTGAGGGGAAGAATTTGACGGGAGATCCCATTTAGCGCGGAGCGTTCCAAGGTCTCCCTCACCCTCTGTGTAATGTCTGACTGCAGGCCTCTATAATTGTACCATTTGCTCCAGGAGGGAGCTTCTGTGATGATGGCTGAACAAGACGCTGATATATGAGTATAGCTGAATATTATCATCATTTTATCACAACTTTTTTTTTCTATGTTTAGACCAGTAGTATTTGATTTTAGCCTAGGTCCCTGGGTTATCTAGTCTCAGGTTCTTGGTCACTCAAATTGTCAGGTATTTCTTCTAAAATAATGTACAATTAATTGTCTATCTTCATTACTTGTGGTTATTAATCAATGAAAAATTAATGATCTTTTCAAATAAAAATTTGTTCCTTTTCAATCTTAAAATGTATTACTGCTGCTTTGTGAAATTCATCTATGTTCAATAATTTATTTATTCCTTTATTCTTTTTTCTATGATATGTTACATTTTTATTTATGATCTGGAATATTGATTAAATTCTGCTCACTTGTCATTTAATTTATCACTGCTGAATTATATTATATGATAGGTACATTTTTATTATGAAAAACTAAAGTGAATTTTCAAATTATCATAGATAAGTTTTAGTCTCAAGAAAATGTTATCAGCATTTCAGCTTGAAGAATTTTAATGCAATACTTTCAGCAGCTGCCATCTGGGTACAAGAATGGTGACACTTAGCCCAAAATTGTTTAATTGAGCCATCCTATTTTCTTGCCACATCTTTATGTTTGGTTGATATATCAGAACTGACTGATTAATTTCACATTAATCTATTTTCTATCAAAGTTCTCAAGCTTTTGAAATCTGAGGATTGCATCCTGTCTTTGAAATTTCTAAAAGACGTTCTCAAACAGATGATCAAACACATCTTTGTCCTCCCACTCTGTAGCGGATAGTATTATTGCTATTATCTTGAGCATTACTTAAAGGTTAACTAGAAATCGTTGTCACTTTCAATTCTAGTATCTTACTTGGGATCAGATCTTGTCTGGATAATAGTAGTAATTTCACTAAGTACCCCTTCACTGTTCATGCCAGTACTTTGAAGGCTCTGCTGACATATGTATGTCTTTCACTTGCCCCAGTTGCTGCTGTACATGGCAGTGTCTCAAGAATCCAAACTTCTTTTTTATCTACTGTGTGTGACATATTCTCCTACTTGGTTTCCATGTCTTTAATTTTTAGCCTTAGAGGTGGAGAAATTGACTTTCAACAAATGCTACTAATTAGCATTATTGCAGACAGTTGACAAAATAATATTATGGCATGTTGTTTGTGTCATGACATGCTTTCTATATGTGAGATATTGTTGCATTTATTTCCGTATCTCTGCCTCAGCTAATTCGGTAAGAACCTTTGTGATAACTGGTCAAAGTGCAGAGAATAAGTTACTATGGAGTCCTTAGCCCTGTGTGTGACATTTATATCACACTCCATCCCAAATTCAGGGGACATCACTGAAGAAGGAGTAGAAAGAGTGTAAGAACCAGAGGTAAGAGAGGACTGCTGTTGACTAGATCAAGCCAGTCAACTTTCCAACATCTTTCAGGGAGGGCTTACAAGGCCCTACCCCTAGCTGAAGACTTAATACCACTTGATGGCTGCTGGAGGAGGGAGAGTTAGTTTTCTTCAGGGGTGTTATCCACAGTAGACTGGCCACACCCTAGTGGATGATCCTATACTAGTTCACATAGGAATAGCAATAATTTGGCCTTAGTGAATTAAAAAAAGGAGAAAGAGGAGGAGGAGGAGGAGGAAGAAGAGGAACAGGAAGAAGAAGAGGAACAGGAAGAAGAAGATTAGGAGGGGGGAAGGGGAGATGAATTTGAGTAGTGGGGCCTAGGAGAGTTAGACTTGGGTAATGGGTGGTTATGATAAAAATGTGTTGGATTAGTATATGAATTTGCCGAAGAATAAATAAAAATAGTATGCCAATAAAAAAGAGTCCTATGATGATACTTTTATTCCAAAATTGTATTGATTTCTTTGATGAGTAACTATTATTTGTACTTGAGTATTTATTTTGCCAAAGTAATTTACCAAATTAAATGGATTTTCCCACTTATTTTTGGTAGGTGGTGGGTGCTAGGAAAGAAACAGTAAAACCAAGAGAAATGAGCCAATTATACTAGTGGAACCTAGCCTAAAAAAGAAAAATCATTAAAACTGTTATCCAGAGCAGCACTAGTGATCTTAAACCCAAATAAACCACTTTAATTCCACAAAAATGTACTAAACAAGTTCTGGGAATGCAAATATCAAAAGTATGGTCACTGTTGTGAAGGTAACCCACATTAGTGGAGTTGTCACTAGAAACAGCAAACAAGCGAGTGTAAAAGGATTTTTGGAAATATGAGAACCTTTGGCTGTCTAACAAGCCTGCAGATCCTCCTGCCCGTCTGCCTTCCCCAGCACTGGGGTTACAGCTACGTGTGACCATACTTTTCACATGGATGCTAGAGGTTTGAGCTCATGCTTCCACAGCAAGCACTCTTAATTTCTCAGCTATCTCTCCAGCCCACTTTGTGTGGTGTTGTAATAAGAACTGACAAACCGTGCCAATGTGGAAATAATGTGCATGATCCAACATGAACAGAGTAAGTGGAATCCAATGACAAAGAGATCAGATATTATTATTATTATTAAAAGTAGGCTATAAAATCATGAGAACTAACATCTGAAAACACAGAAGAGAGTTTTGGAAACAGTGTAAAGATAGTAAGCATAATCTGACAATATTCCCTTAAGATATCAGTACCTAGATATTTTGTTTGTGCTCCAACAAATAAAGCTTGCCTCAGAAATAGGAGCTCAGCCCCCCTTTCTGTCTGAGGATTTGGTAGAGGTAAGAAGTCTTTCTAGTGACTGGCTCCTTTACTTCTCTGATCTTTCAGCATTCACCCGAAAAAAAGAAAGATTTCAGTACTTAGGTGTTCAAGGAAACATTAATATAGTTATTGATGTGAAGGAACTTTGAAGATGGATATTATCAGTTTAAAAGAGCAGCTGATTTTAAAATAGATAGATCATGACAGATTATTCAAGTGTACCCAGGAAAATTGCATCAGCCCTTAAAGGCAGAAGAGAAAGGCAGAGAGGAGAGAACATGAAGACGAGTGGAAATCAGAATGAGAACTCAGCCTCTTTGATGGTTGTGGGTGAAGCAGATCTCAAGCCAGGTAGTGCAGGCAGCTTATAGTGGCTGAGGTTGGTCCTCAATAAAAACTCAACTAAGAAAAATGGCAACCTCTGCCCCACAGCTATGCAGAACTGAACTCTGTCAATAGCCAGTGTGATCCATGGAACACCTGTGAGGGTGGCTGATGTAGTCCTGAGAAGACCATGAATTTGTCCTTCAAGATTTTGATTTGGCCATCAGTTCTACAGAATTTCTGATTATGATGGGTGTAATTTTTAGCCACTAAATTTATAGTATTGTGTTATGGTAATAAGAAAAACAAATACAATAAGGAACATGAGACTGTAAACCATGGCAGAGAGAGCAGAAGATATATCAAATAGGAAATTTAGAAGTAGGAAGTATCACATTGTTAAAAACCGTAAGAGGTTAAGTAACACATCTTACAAACCAGAAGTGTGACCTGGAATAAAAGCTCCAAAAATGTGAAATGTACTGCTCACATTGCATGCACAGGCATAAAGCTAAGAGAAATGCATGGTGGTCCTTAGTTCACATTCTCCTTCATATTCAGTTTAGGATTCTGGTCCATGAGACAGCACTACCCACATTCAGGGTGAGTCCTCTCTCTTCAGTTAAACTTTTCTCAAAAGCTTCCCAGAAATACCAGGGGGTATGTTTCAAAACAATTATAAATGCCATCAAGTGAACAGTGATGATTAGTTGCCACAGAGAGTTAGGAAAAATCAAGTTAAAATGAGAAACATACCTTCCATCAGAATAGGAGTAGATAATGCAAGAAAGAGGTAAGACTTGGTGGTATATACCTGTAATCTTAGCACTTGGGAGGCTGAGATAGAAAGACCAGGAAGATCAGGAGTTCAAAACCGTCTTGAGTTACATAGTGAACCTTATTTTACAAAGAGGGGCTGGACTGGGAATAT